AACTCTTGACACAAACATATAGGATTATCGAAATAAAGTTATGTTTCATAAAATTAAATATAAGAGATAAAAATATATGTTTAATAGTTTGTTGTAATCACATAAGCAGATAGATTGATGTCGTATTTATAGGTTTTTTTTCTTCTCTTTCTATTATTAGTAGCACAGTAAGTATAATGTATTTTATTATAGATATATTTAAAAATGTACTTTATAACAGTTGATAATACTATATTTATTCATTGTTTTCTATATTCTTGAAAAATTATATCACATATTGCTTTTGTTTAGATCCATATTGCTAGTATGATAAAATGGATCATAAATAATCGATTGGATTACCGTCAATCTTGCTTTTTCTCTTAATATTATCTAAAACAAACAGGAAATAAATGAAACGATGTGAAATAAAGATGATCAAGTAGCAATCAGTTCAGATAATAGAATAAGTATTGACGTCAATCACTCTCAATACATCATTTTTTTTTCTCATTTTTTTTTTCAATCAGTATTATTTCCTAGTAAACTACAAACGTACATAAACATCCACCCTTTACATATACATGCATACTTATGACTAAAAACATTTGTGCTTAACTAAATGAATTCAATTTACACAACATGCTTCTATTCATTAATAATAATAATAAAAAAAAGAAAGAGTCGAAAATATCAGAAATAAATTATAATAATGAATTTTGACATAATAATTGTTAACATATTTTTATAAAATATAGAAAATTTGAATAAAGTAGAATATTATGGGTATGTTTTAGTAAAAACAACAACTTATTCAGTCTTCATTTTTTTTTCTTTTTATATAATAGTCATAATTGTTTTTAGATTAATTATTATTTAATTGGATTCATCTATCTATATATATATGTGTCATATTTTTCAAAATACGTAATAATATAATAACTAAAATGAAATTGTTAATGCAGATTTTCTTATTATCATTTTTACAATCAACATTATTTCCGATCTAGGTTTCAGACAAGCATAAGCAAGTAGTTTTCTTTAGGTCATTTTCTTTTTTGCTATTCTTGGTTTAATTATCACATACTTAAAAAGCCTTACAGTACTATTAAATGTTACCATTGTTTAATTAATAAATCTTTTGACGCATCCATTATTACTTTTGGTTATCTTTTTATTGTATAGACTTTCTAGGATGCTTTTAAGAACTTGAATTACTTACAGTCTAGTAATTATTTACCTTTTTGTACGAGACTATTGACAAATTTGTTTTTCTTTTAAAAAAAAAACAATGTTGATTTACTTATTCTATCACATTTCCTTCGAAGAGTACAAATTTACTATTGATTAAATTGTGCTTCTACTATTATAATTGTGATTTATAGTAGAAACACTACCACAGCAAATATAGACTGATTGTCAATAATCTACAATAAAATACTCATTTATCTGTAAGAAATTAAAAAAGAAAAATATTTCTATTGACATTTGAAAGTTAATATGAAGACAACAGATCATATATTATTAATTTTATGTCTCATTTCTATAGAGAATAAATAGGAAAGGCTAAATAGTTTTATTTTTTCTTATCGTTTCAAAATTAATCTTATTCACTAATGATCTATGATAAGTAGATTTTCAATTTAATAATGACAAACATTAAGAATCAATGATGTCAAACTTCACTGTCAATGTTTGATAGAAAAAAAAAGTAGCTTTTTATTTATTAACAATAAATGAATCTTTTCTAAGATGTATTCGAAATAACCTGAAAGACAAACAAACAAGATATTAATTTATTAATGATATCTTTGAGAGAGAGAATCGACCTACATTTCTTTTCTTTTTTTTTTTTTCGATGAAATATAAAAACTAGTTTATTATATTATATAGGAAATTTTAATTATTGAAATTATTATTTATAATCTATTACATTTTGTAGTGTTCTTTGTCACGATTATTTTTTTGTTTTCATCAAAATAAGATCAGAAAAATTTTTTGAAAAGTACTTGTAAAGAAAAAAAAAATGTCGAGACGTAGTTCAGCCTTGATATATGTTAATGCATAATCTTCTTAATATCTTCCTTTTTTTTTTCTTTAGTTTTTATTCATCCAACCAATATTTTTTTTCATTTGACTTTCTTTTCATTTGAACATGTCATTTGCATCAATGAATTAATATCTTTGAAGTTACTTTCACAAGATTATTTTCTTTTTTTAGATAGACTAATAGTCAACATCCGTTCCCTATTGTGATCATTCTTTCTATTGTTCCAATTGAATGTTAAACGGTATATATTATAACTAATATTCAACATCTTCCTCATCATAAATGTGACAATGTCTATGCATAATGAAGATTTATATAGAACTATAATAATAAATTAATAACAAGACTTTATCAAATTTATGAATGACTTTCATTAACATAAATTCGACTACAATTGAAAATACATCTCTTGAAAAATTAACATGGTCTTTTAGAACAATTACCATACTTATTATATGTAGCCTAATTACAATCTTTACTATATTAGGTTTGTATTTAAATATACTTTATTTATATATAATATAAATCTCATTTGAAAATTATTATGACTAAATTAAGATAAAGTGTAAATTGATTTTTTTTTTGTTGAAAATTTTTATTTTTAGGCAATGGTTTAGTTCTTATTTCAATAAAATTTCGTCTTCGTACTCGATCATATTCCGATTATTTTATTGTAAGTTTATGTCTAGCAGATTTTTTTGTTGGTTTATTTGTAATGCCACTTATGACAATTCATACATTATATTTACAATGGCCATTTCATTATCGTCTTTGTCATATATGGATGTCAATTGATTTTACATGTTCAACAGCATCATTTCTTACATTAGCTTCAATGGCTTTAGATAGATATTGGGCATTAACTAGTATTTTATTTTATTTTTTTTTATAAATAATTCTATTTGTTTGTTTGTTTTTTGTTGTATTTAGCACCTTATTATCATTTACGTAATCGTTCTTCTTCATCTGTATTAATATTTATAATAAGTTCATGGGCTATTCCATTTGCTATATGGCCAAGTTCAATATTTATTTCGAATTATTATAATAGAAGAAAACCATCATGTGTTCATCCAGCACCTCCATTTATAATTGTTTTATTATGTACATTTTTTTATTATATTCCACTTTTATTTATGCTTGCTTGTTATTCAAGAATAATAGTCAATATAAAAAATATTGAAGTATTAGTAAGTTAAAAAAGTTTTTATTTATTTTATTAAATAATTTTGAAATTTTTTTCTTAATATATAAAAATAGTGTTTTTTTCTATACTATTAATAAAAACATAGAAGAAGAAAAAAAAAAAAAAAGTGACATGAAAATAAAATCTTCAAATATTAAAAGAAAATGACATAGAGTTAAGTATCATCAATAATATTAAATGAACTTAATTTATTATTCTATCTTAAGAGTTCATTAGTGAAGATATCAAAAAATCGAAGCGCACTCATCAAAATTTAATGCTTTGATTCGATGTCATCATCATCTTCATCAATATTTTCTCAAATCTCTAAATTTAAAATTTCAATGTATTGTTTCGAACAATCATAAGATAATTTGAAGATTATAATCAAGCATTCTTAATATTAAGTTGACTTGTTAAAGACAGTAAAAAATTGATAAAACTTTTCGTGTAATATATCGAAAATTGAATACAATTAATAATTTACATACTACATTTCAGTCTACTATATCAAGAATTAATACTTTCCATGACTGGTCATTTTATATATGTTATTTAGTGTTTGTTTCTCTATAAAAAAAAACTAAAAAATATTGTAAAAAAAAAGTTTTTATCCGATGCAAAAAATGGTTTACAGTCTCGATAAGTAGATAAACAACTTCAAGAACAACGATTTCAAACATTTCTCAGTACGCTTCGCTTATTAAAATGTTAACCTAGAAGAAATTAAAGCTTTATTCTCGATGAATAGAATAGTGATAAGAGTTCTTTTCAACAAAGAAAAAATATCGAATAATAATTATCTAAATCAATAGAGTTAGTGAAGGTTGATGACAAGTATTTGAACTCAAGGGATCAAACTTATTTTACTGAATTAAACTTCGATCATACGACTATGATCAGCGACTCAATTCTTATCGATCTAGAACATCATTATTTAGTTTTACGAAAAAAAAAAATGTTTTTTTAATTTTGATTATTCTTTTCAAGAGAACTTTCTTCACCAGTTTATCAATCTAAAATGTAGGTCTAATTGCTTTTGGATGAAAAATTTTGATAAGTAAAAAAACAATGAAAAGTACTCGAGATTATTTCCTGTAAGTCATTTGTTACATCCGATAGAAAATTTTTTAAAATACTCTTTCTATTTTAGAGAGAACTAAAAGTTACATTAAGGCATATCGATAAGACATTTTTTTTTTGACTTTTTTCTATGAAAAATCAATCTGTACATATAAATTAAATTTTTTAAGAATATTCCGAATTCAATACTCTTGTGAAGGTTGTTTTAAATATATCGGCAAGATCTTTATAAAAAAAAAAAGTCTATAATCTTGATTAAAAATTAAAATATAAATCTTAATTATATTGCTTTTTTTAATAGATCAAAGATAGTTGTGATACAATGAAATTAAATTCATCCGGTCATGATTTAAAACAATCTACTATAACAACTGCATCTCATTTTGATGGTTCTGCTCGTAATGATAAAAGTAGTAATACAACAACAATAACAACACCACTTTCATCAATACGTACTTATTTCTATAAATATTTTCAACGAAATAGAATAATAAATACAATTCGAACAGAATCTTTACCTGCTAATGAACAACATTTTATTATACATGAAGTAAAAAATCGAAAAAATTCAAATGAATATTGTCATAATACAAATCAAAAACGACGATCAATTACTGTTGATCAAGGAATAACATCAAATATAATAGTAGCAAAAACACCACCATCATCATCATCATCATCAATTCCTCATCGTCGTTTATATCGACAAACAACAGCAACATTCAAAGGACAAAAACGTTGTTATAATGATACTATTGAAGATAATAGATTAAAAAATGATTTAATTATTAATCAAGAAGAAGAAAAACAACAACAACAACAACAATTAGTTCAAGTATATGTGAATAGTTATAGATTATCATTACCAGCTATTCGTTATGAATCATGTTTTTATTATCAACATTCAATTCCTACACAAACAATAATAACAAAAGCAACTATTGAAAATCAACATCGAAATATAATTAATAATCATCAATATGAAAATAATTCACATCAAAATTCTTTACCAAAAGAACGTAATCAATCACATTCACCATCATCTCCTGAATGTCATCGTAATGGTGATAATACAATAGTAGATATTTCAAAACATGATTCATCATATGACAATTCTCTCGATGATGAACATCGTCGTTTAAATCATCGTACTCAACCATTATGTTTATCTAAACCACGTAATTCAAGTCGTTATAGTCAACGTGCTATAGCAGAATTTATGCATCAAAGACGTAAAGCTTGTTTACGACGAAATCAAAAAGCAAGTCGAATGCTTGGTATGAATAAAACTTTTGTTTAATTATAAAAAAAAAAATCGAAATATATTTTTATTCTTTAAGCACAAGTTGTACTCATATTATAAGTTGAGTGACCTACAAAAAAGAAATGCGTGGGGGGAGGGGAGGGGGGAGGAATATGAAAAGATTGATATAATCTCATATGAATCTACTGCTTTTGTTTTGTTTTTTTTGCTTCTTTTCATTCTTTTTATTGTCTACATTATGAACGTATCCGATTATTGATTTTTATCACATAAGTTTGATTTAATTAGGATAATAGAAGAAATAAAAATACTTCAAATTTCTCTCGGGGCTAAATTTCATATTAAGATTATATACAAGAGAGTACTGAATAAGTGTATATTCAATAAATTATTTCATATGCTATTGTAATTAAATTAGAAAATAATTAAGTTTTTTATTTTATTTATTTTTTTTCTAGGTATTTTACTTGCTGTTTTTCTTATTTGTTGGCTTCCATTTACAATATCTTATCCAACATCAATTTTTTATCCAAATAAATTTCCAAGTGGACTTGAATGTATTATATTTTGGTTTGGTTATGTCAATTCATTATTAAATCCATTTTTATATGTATATAGTTCACGTAATTTTCGTCAAGCTATTATTGAAACATTATGTTGTCATGCTCGGTTTCAATCACAACGCCGTTTACAGTATCAATGGTCATTTCGTAATACTGCTCAGAAATAGAGAGCTTATTGTATATATTAAGAAAAAAATAAAAAAATAATGCCAGTTAAACTGTCGAACAGATTACTCATTTTATATCTATATAAATTATCCCTAACCCATAAGAAAAATATTATTTTCTTTTTTTAATTAATAAGCATTTATTAGATCTTTTTTTTATGGATATTATGTTTGATTCATACGAAGAGTGTTCAAAAAGTTCTCGACCTAATTTTGATTTAAAAATAATCAAACAAGTTACAATTATAAACATATATTCTCTCTTTCGACACAATATTGTCAGCATCCTTCAAACCTTTGTATAGTTGCTGTGAAGTTATCGTTATACAGACCGTTCAGACACTGATGCATTGTTGAATCTAATGAAATTCTATCATGGTAGTGACTTTTGTTGAAATAATCTTTTAAAACTAAGAATATAAAATAATTGATGACAAACAAATTTGGCGAATAATGCGGATAACAAAGCTATTCGTATTTTAAAGTTGTGAGTAGTAGAGCAAACAATATGTTGTATATGTACTGAAACATTATGATGTTACCAAAAATAACGATAGCTTAAATCAAACCTCAGTGTTGTTTTCTAACTTTTGGATAAACTTCATTTATTAAAATATTTGTCTAATATGTCTTCGCGCTATTATCATATCCATTGATACAAGTTCGTTGAAAATTATTTCTTTGTGATTCCAAAAAAGTACATGTAAACATCTTAATGAATTCACAATTCATTGTCAGTTATAATTCGATAAAGAAAATTGTTTCGTTCAACAGAACTGTTGATTAGATGCTAGCAAATGGGGCATCTATCATGAAAAATCTTCATCATATGTAGCTGATCATAGAAAATGCCACGCATTTTACCAATTGAAATGCTTAGAGTGTTCATTATTTGCTGATTCAAAATTCAATGGTCTTTGACGATTAGACTTTTGATATCTTTAATACTTTTGTCATTCATTGCAATAATTCGTCATCTATCTATATATATAAAGAAGAAAGTTTGTTTGTTTGTTCTTTATGCATTTGGTCCCTGTAAGAGCCAGTGCAACCAAACTTTGCATGGTATACCCTTTCATCCAGGGGAAGGTCAAGAGGAGGTCGCTCCCTCCTCGGGGGGAGGGGGGGGAGGAGGTTCTCCCTCAGTTTTCTGTTCTTCATGCATTTGGACACGGTACGAGCAAATGCAACGAAACTTTTCAGGGACCATCCTCTCATCCAGGAGGAGGTCAACGACTACTTTTTGTCGAAAAAACATCGGTCCTTCGCCTGCAACAGGCCCGCCTATGTATCTGACCAATGAGATTGCAGCATTCGGTAGTATCGAAGAACTACTGAGCAGCATGTTGTGAGCAAGCACAAGACATGTACCTAGGGGTTTTCGAGGGTGCTGAGCTCGAATCTACGGTCCATTTGCCTCGAAATCTGATTGGTTGGCCGATTACCAATAGGAATTCAGCTGAAAAGAAAACAGACAAATACATCTACACTTTCGGGAAAACGATGAGATAGGGGTTTTAGAGGCGGTGATTGCGAATCTGGAATCCATTCGCCTCGAAGCCTTACTGGTTTGTCGGAAACCAATAGAAATTCAGCTGCTAAGAAATCAGCTAATCAAAATTGCGTTTTCACGAACACAGTCAGGTAGGGATTTTTAGAGGAGGGGAACGAATTCAAATCTGGGGTCCATTCGCCTCGAAATCCTATTGGTTAGCCCGAAACAAATAGAAATAGAGTTTTCCGGAAAACGAATATCACTGGATGATTGGAGGTAGGACAGTAGGAATCTGAAGTCTATTAAGCTCGACACCCTATTGGACCGCCCGTGATCCTACTGGGTAACCCATCTATCTATTTTCTATCTCTTTATACCATCCAAAAAGTCTGCTTGCGACTGTGTGATGTAGTGACTAAGCAGTCACGTGTCTGTTCATGTGACCGTCCATATAACTATCCACGTGATCATCTCTAGCTATCCATTGTCCAGTATCGCGTGTACCTTCTAGAACTTTCTATGCACTCTACTCGGTCATCTATCTATATATATAAAGAAGAATGTTTGTCTGTTCTTTATACATTTTGTTCCTATAATAGCTAGCGTCACCAAAGTTTCTATGGCATATCCCTTGGTCCAAAGGAAGGCTCAGACAAGGTTGACGCCAGCAACACTGGTGTGGAGAGGAGTTCGGGTGAAATTTCCCACAGGCTATGATATACTGCAATTTTCACCAATCTGTCAAAAGTTTGTTACGATTGTTAGAATATCCACCTCTTACTGTTACTTTTTTGTACTGGCTATTGGTATGAGGTATGGCAATAGGCATGAGTAAAGAGAAAGACACTCACACCCACACACTATTTGTTGAATTATCGAATTTGAGCATAGATGGAAGTGTACGCACGGCGGGATATGTAGTGGTAATACATGGAAAGCTCTCAATCACACCCTCTCTACATCTTCTATCGTTTTCTGACATGTTAAGTTTCCAGTATGGAGGTTTCCCGAGCAACGCCGGGTACTACCGCTAGTACACATTAAAGATCGCTGTTAGTGTTTTATTGTTCATCTTTAAAATAACAAAAGCATCTAAAAACTGTGGTGCGTGATTGAGTATGGTCACCATAAACTGCCCATATACGTTTATAAATATTGAATAGAAAATGACCTTCAAAAACCAAGAAACTATTTAATTGAGTGATACTCAAGTTTTTGATATTCCATCAATGTATATAAGGTGATTTAAAACCGATCATATATTAATACATAAATATTTTATCGATCAGCGTTCACAATATCAAACAAATGAAGGACTGTATGAACTACACATCAGAGTTAGGATTGAAACTTATATAGTACATCATGTATATTTTCAGTAACACTTTTACATCTTGTATGAAAACACAAACCCAATTAAGATTATTTTGCTTGCTATTTTCTACTGTAGACGACTATATACACCAATTCGTTCAATTCATTGACAAATATAAAAAAAGAGATATTGCAAATAATGTCTAAAATTACAAGTACCAACAAGCAAAGGTGCTTACTATGCTTGAAAACAATTTTCCATTGAATCGAGCCCATTAAATGACATAAAAATTATAATAGAAATAGTTTAATTTCATCAAAAGTAGTTGTACTAGTTCTGTCACATACAGATAAGAGTCTAAGTATAGCCGTGTTTTTTGTCATTTTTTTAAATAGAGCTAGTCCAGAAACTGATTGAATGTTCTGCGTAAGTTTATTATTCAATAAGAATGTAACTTTGCTCACCAAAAAACAATCATCATACTTTTTTTCTTAATTCATTAAAAATATGTCTATAATTCGTAGAGAAAAATAAATTTGAGTAGACTTCGTTGTTTATCAAACGCTAGACTGCGAAATAATTTTCTTGTATATAAAAATATATATTCTAATTTTCCTTTCTATCAAAAAAAAAGGCATAACATATACTAATGATTTTGTAATTAATTAAGCGAAGCATTCATTCACACTTAATCAAATTCTTATGTATAAAACAATGATTTCTTCTATCTTGATGTTAAGATTTTCTAAATATTAAGTTCCGACAAAGATGGTTATTGTCGTACATAAGTCAAAATTAAGTATAAACAGACGGCATGACTACTCCGAAAGGTACGCAATACCTTTTAGGTCTAATCAGACACGTCTTTCATATCTGCCATGAGTAGTTATCTTGATCAAGCATGTCCTATAAACACATCTGAACTAGTTCAGAATATAATTGGATCTCGCAACGTCTATAAATTGTTTTTTTTACCTATCCCGTTCAGACTAGTCTGTTGAAGAGAAGATGTATTAAAAAAAGACAAGCGGTAGATTAGATCATCCAAAACTACATTATTCAATATGTGGCAGGTTTTCTGAGGCCAGATCATGAACTATAAATAGACTGAAGTTAACTTAAATAGTTCCAATAGAAGAAAGACTTCCGGTCATTTGCTAGAAAATTAAAAACTGATTGAAGATGAGCCACTTGAGTAGTATGAATGGGTTTGTACATCTGCCATGATGAATTTAGTTTTTACAATATTCCGTCATTAATAATATAGCGCATTATGAAATTTCTTAGCAACTCATTTTTATCATCATGCATTGTCCAACCAAATGTAATCTAGTGGCAAGGAAAGTTTTTCCATATCTACATCGTTTGTTAATTATAAATAGTCCTCAATTCAACGCATTTACAATGTGAGCAAGATAATAGAATAAATATGGTTTTACTAAAAATGAATCAACATTATAGCTACATCTGTTGAAATAAACGCATTTACAACTTGTTTCAAGCCTTAATATTCAAAATATTGAAAGTATTATACTGAAACTTTGTCTCATAAATATGTTTCAAATATCATCTAGAATAATTTACACAAAACAGTTTTACAGTTACAATTCAAAATAAAATTAAATCTTTATATTCTATCTTGATGAACGATAATGTTTGTCGAGTAGCAATAGAAAAAAAATCACCTTGATCTTCTTATCTCGGATACATCATCTAGTATTTGTGAATGTATTGAAATAAAATGAAATTGACAATTCAAAATTCATATGAGAAAATATGTGTGATACAAATGATATTAATACTATTATGCTTGACTATTTATCCATCAATACTTTTTTTTCTTTCTGTCTCCTACAAAAGAAAACGATTAGTTTATGTTAAATATAATCAAATAATTTTTAAAAATAGTAAAACACACTTCATAAATGATGAAACCTCAACAACTACATATTGTAGAAGTGCAAGAAAACAAACATTTGTACTCCATCCTTACAAATGATTAGTCATGTGTTTTTTCTAGAAAATAATCGAAATAAATAATACAGAAAGAAATTCATAAACTCATTCAATCTATTGTCAGAAGAGATTCTTTCTATATTTCATGTTCTTGTTCTCTAGGCTTCACTAACATATATCAGAAATATCAAGTTTTGCTAGAACAAATGATGCTATGTTCTTTAGATTCGAATA